CATCTCTCTTCTTTTACTTCTCTCTCTCTCTCTCTCTCTATCTCTCTTATGTTTGTCTCTCCCTCTCTCTAGGTGGGGGCTGGGGCGAACCTTTGACGGGGATCGTGTGAAACTGCCATCGAAGAAGAAGGTGTGTGTTGCCAAAGAGCGAAACTGTCAGAAAAAATGAAGGTGTGCATCACAAAAGTGTGACACCGCTGTCGAACATGAAGGCGCGTGTGCGGCAAGAGAGCCTGAGCGAAGGGTTCTTCGCAAAGAGGGGTCCTCTAGTCACTTCTTCAGCTTGGCACGCGCCTCGTTTTGGAACGCGAATCCAGCTCCTTTCGGAACGCGGATTTGGATCGTTTTGGAACGCGGTTCCCGGTTGGTTTCTGGCAAGCGGTTTCTGGGAAGTGGTTTCTGGCGAGTGGTTTCTGGCGAGTGGTTTCTGGGAAGTGGTTTCTGGCAAGCGGTTTCTGGGAAGTGGTTTCTGGGGAGTGGTTTCTGGCGAGTGGTTTCTGGGAAGTGGTTTCTGGGAAGTGGTTTCTGGGAAGTGGTTTCTGGGAAGTGGTTTCTGCGGAGTGGTTTCTGGGGAGTTGTTTCTGGGGAGTTGTTTCTGGCGAGTGGTTTCTGGGAAGTGGTTTCTGGGAAGCGGCTTCTGGGGAGCGGTTTCTGGGGAGTGGTTTCTGGAAAGTGGTTTATGGGGAGGCAAAACCAAAACAGATCCTAAAGACGTGAAGCCCTAAGTCAAAGCCAAAGACATCCTGACGCTAAGCCAATCCAAAAGACACCCTAAAGAAGTGAAGCCCTCAGTCAAACCCAAAGAGATCCTAACGAAGCAAAGCCCAAGCAAAAACAAAAGAAGCCCCAAAGAAGTGAATCCCTAAGTCAAACCCAAAGAGACCCTGAAGAAGCCTGATGGCTCCGCTGCCAGATTGGTGATTTTTGTGGAAAAAGAGCCGAAGTATGCTGCCTTGGGCTAGTTGTAACCGGTCTGTGTTCCAAAATGATCCGCCAAATGCTGGAAGACTACAGATCCGCTGACTTTTGATGGCAAAGTATGCTTGTTTGGGCTAGTTGTAATCGGTCTGTGTCCCAAAATGACCCGCAAAATGCTAAAAGACTACAGTTTTGGAGACGCGTGCCCCCAGCTTCACATCTCACATCTCACATACACATACAGTCATTAATTGTGCAAACTATATAAAGCGGGCCCAGCCGGGGTGACGAGGTGGACTTTGAAATTAACGGGGTGAATTAACTGAATGTTGTTTTTCCGGGTACTTTGTTTGGTTGAGTATCGAGGTGTAGGACAACCCAAAAAAAATTGTCGGGCTCCGATTTTTTTGCCGTGACTTCAAAGTCTTTCCTTTGGCGGTCGGTTCAACCAGAGTTTGAAAGGAGCCGCTTGGCCCAGCAATCTTCGAAGTCTTTCCTTTTGCAGACAGTTTAACAAGAGCGTGGAAGGAGTGGCTTGGCCCAGCAGCCTTCAAAGTCTTTCCTTCGGCGATGAACATGTGGTTTTGGGTGTCTAGGGAACATCGATGCTCTTCTGGTGAAAAAACTTTTCGGGCTCCGAAAAGTATGTTATTCCAATGTTGCTTTGGTACTGAAACTCGGAACAGACGTCCCAAACTGTGTAAGAAACCAAAAACCATGGCCCTTGCGTGGCGAATGTGTACCTCTGAACGCAAAAGAAGAAACTTTTCGGGCTCCAAAAAGTTTTTTCCCGCACCCCGCCACCGAGAAACGCGGGCACCCCCTCACCACGCACCAAGGAACCGCACCCCCTCAATAGGGGGTCCAAGGAACATCCAAGAGACACGCCAAGCAACCGCACCCCGCCACCGGGGATCCAAGGCACGAACCAAGGAAAGATTCTATGTTATCTGAACCCAAAAGGCGGAAGGATTGACCCTCCGATGGAAAGAAGAAATAAGTCGAGCTGACCGGGCCCACTAATTCGAAACAGAATTATCGGGGCGAGGTAGCGAAAATAATTCTAGGAATTAACGACGGAGCAGCGGGGTGAGAGTTGATATAACTTGCCCAGAATTATTACATCTGTAGATGCACATGTTCTCTCTTCTTTTACTGCTCCAGACTCCACACGGTGTGGCGAAGTTACGTTTGTGATGTCGCTGTGCACGCGGTTTTGCGAGGCCTCTGTGGAAAGTGGGTTTGCGTGGCTTTGTCCCGTTGGGGTACGGGACACATGCGTGCATGAACGTGGGTGGCTGATGAGCGCGATGGGTGGTGGGGTGAACAGGGCATGTTGTAAAATTGTTGCACCTAGCATGTGGCACGGAGTTCTTTGGAACGCACTCAGCGCCTGCAGCGCACGTCGCACGTGGCAGGGCAACAATAAGTTTGCTGACTAGTTCGTTTTTTCTTCCTGCCTTCTGGTTTTCCAGTTGCCCTGTATCTGCCCACCTCTTATGTTTGAGCTGTAGCTGGTTGTTTTGCCTTTCGTGGGGATGTTGGTTTGTACCTATGAGTAAGCTCCTTTTTCACCCCATGGCAAGGCTTGCCCTGTGTCGGCTTGCGGCGCGCCACACATCCAGGTGTTCTTGTGCGGCGTAAAGCTATGCAGGTTTTCTTTTTACCCATGTGAAGAAAGCCCCTGGGAGGGTTACGTCTTTGTGGTCAGAAGCTTGTGAGCCGGAATCGGGTTTCGTTTGCGGTCGTTTGCGGCTTTTCCGTGTCAGCCTTGTGCTGGGCCCAGAACACCTGTGGCCGCTGTGGCCGGTTTTTTGTTTTTGTGAGTTGTGAGGCTGTGCCAGGTTTTTTTTCCGCCCTGCGCGGGTCCTTTTTCGCCTGGTGTGCGTTTTGGAAAGGCAGAATCACTAGCAGATTTCTTGGCACCTTGTGCAAGTTCTTGGCATGTCTCTCCCAATGTTTTTGGCTGTGCAGGGTCTTTTCCATCCTGTGCAGGTTACGGTCAACCCGAGGGGGTTGTTTCTTGTTTGATTTTTCACTTACACAATGCCTGTACCACCTTCACTTCTGTGGATCACTTGTATGCATGCTCAAATTGCGCAAATGTTCTTATCAACACATATTAACACGCCTTCTTGCTATCATCTCTTTTCGCGTGTGTGTTCCTGGACCCCGTATGAGGGAGGTAGAGCCCGGATATCTCCCACAACGGACTCAGGTTAGATGAGTATGGTGAGTCAGCCCTACACCACGCCACCCATGGAGACCACGTGGAGATCGTGGAGTTGCTCCTGCAACTTGGCCAGGTGCAGGTCGACATCCCGAATGCTCGCAACGAGACGGCTTTGTCGGTGGCATGCCGCAAGGGCCACAGCGCAGTGGCAATGCATTTGCTTAAGGCCATCCCGGCATGATCAAATTTGCAGACCACCTGGATCAAGGTCCATGTTTGATCCGGATCATTTACTGTAGATAAGAAACCATTGAACATGCCAAGCATGGAGGCTCTCACTCACTTCACCAAATTGATGCGCGCGATGGGGTTTGATAACACCCCATATTTTGGAACTTTGGGGTTCGACATGGGGTCGGTCCTGTTACAGCAACCAACCACCTTTCAACGTAAGACCTAAATTCTTATCAGGACCCGATGTTGGGTTAAACTTTAGCGGGAATAATTGCCTAGGGCATGAGGTTCCAGGTCATTTATTTTTTAAAAAATACATATATATATATATAGCTCGCTGACGCTCACATGAGGGCTTTTGGCCTTTGCTCGCCTTAGCCAAAGGCTAATCTCCTGAAGAGGGTGATGGAGAGAGAGAGAGAGAGAGATATATATATATATATATATATGAAGCCTTGCAAGATCTCCTACAGTATCCTATATATATATATATACCTAATGTTTGAGTTTTGGCTGTAGGCACATCTCTCACAATCAAACGGTGTGTTGCCCACCACGCAGGCAGATGCCAATCCAAACCGATGTGCCTCAGATGGTCTCACACCCTTTTTGGCCGCTGTGTTGGGTGGAGCTGCGGATGGGCTTTTGGACGCCTTGCTGGCGTCAAAGGCGGATGTGAATGCACAGGACCATCGTGGAGTCGGAGCTCTTCATTCCTTGGCCCTCAGTGGCAACATGCGCCTCATGAAGTGGCTCTTAGAGCAATCGGCGGAGCTAGATCTGCAAACCGAACATGGCACCACTGCACTCATGCTTGCCACCAAGCGAGGTTCCGAGGAGGGTGTCTCGATGTTGTTGTTGGCTAAGGCCAATCCAAACCTCTCGAACAAAGCAGGCAGCACAGCACTTATGCAGGCGTTCGCATCCAACATGGCTGTGGCCGAGCAACTCATTTGCAATGGGGCCTCAGTTGACATGGTGGACTCAGCTGGCCGCAGCGTTCTTTTTCACGCTGTAATCAGTGGAGAGGGATTGGCCATTGAGGCAGTGATCAAGCAAGGTGCTCGAGTCAACATCTTGGATGAGGATGCACGAACACCACTTTACCAAGCCTGCCTCATGGGGTCCTTGGGTATGGTGAAGCAGCTTCTTCAAGCCTCGGCCGATCCGAATCTCGCAGGCCGTGGCTCATCCCTTCGGCAAGCTCACGATGAAGAACAAGAGGATGGAGCAGCAAAGGTTCTTTTGGAAGAAGCGCGGACATGTCTTCAAGTCAGCGCAATGTTGGCCCAAAACGAACTCATGTTGACCTTGTTAGATCACTCGGCAGAGATCAACACGGCTCCAGGCAGCCTTGGGTGGACTGCCTTGCATCTATGTGCCATTGTGAACAATGAGGAGGGAGCAGAGGCCCTTTTGGCTCGAGGAGCGGCTTTGTGTGAAGATGTTGAGGGAAACACTGCTCGAATGCTAGCAGAGCGCGCTGGTCACAGCAAGGTGGTGGAGCTGCTGCGAGACTGCGGATTGCCCCCCCGCAGAGTTCAAAGGTCAGCTGCCACCACTAAATCGGCCTACCGAGGAGGCCCCAGAAGAACAAGAGCCTTTGGAGTCCTTCGAAAAAGAATGGCAAGTAAGACCAAGCAATGATTCAGTGTTGGATCGTATTTATGGGCCCATGGTCCATGATGCTATGTTGAGCCATCAGTGGCGCGACCGATGGCAAGCTCACAGCTACATCAGCAGAACATTTCCTGAATTGTCAGCCAGCCCGGAGGATTTGGTGCGAGCGGTCAGTGAAGCTACTTGCATGGCCTCCCGGGATAAGATGCCGAAGGTCTTCCTAGCATCTCTTTCAGTGCTGGATGAGCTACTATCAGATGCGCGTGTGGATGAGATCAGCGCCGACGACTTCCGCTCGCTGCTGCAATCCGATCACGGGGATATGATCCAATTGTTGCTTGATCAAACGGACGTGGGTGGTGGCTCTAGCAACGCAACATCTCCTCAGCAGGCTGCAGCAGCCTCTCTTTGCTCTTGTGTTTTGCATGGCCGGATCTCTTTGGACGAAGCTGCATTGCCTTTGCTGCTGCGGATTGAAGAAAGGCTTCAAACTCTAGCAGCCAAAAGCGATGCAAAGGAGGCAAAGACGCCGAAATGTTTGGCTGCAAATTTGAAATTGTTGGGCCGAATCATCACCAGCTTCGGACTTCAGCAATCTGGCCTTTGTCGTCGAGCTTTGGTGCTGCCTTTGCTACTTCGAGCCGCTGCTTCTGAGCATTCAAAAGTCAGAGCTGCTGCGGGCGATGCCTTTCTTCAACTCTTAGCCTTGAGTGGAGGTATCGAGGATCGTTTGTGGAGCTTGCTTCCAGCCAAGGCACAGAAGCGGGTGCAAAGCTTGGCCAGTGGACACGAAGGGATCCCTTTGCTGAGTGCCGTGGCTTGTGACGAGGATGCCATGAGCAAAGACGACATCTTGGCTGAGGATCCTCGTTCGAGCGAGCTGGTTTGCGTGTCTGAGTTGAGTCCACAGGTATGGGCAGCACTTCAAGCGGGCATGAATATCACCAAGGGGGCAACTCCAAAGTCTCCGAAGGCCCCCAACACAGATGAAGTCTTTGCGGATGATATGGCAGCTGATGCTTTGAGCACAGCCATTGCCAGCAAAAACTGGAAGCAGCGTGCTGAGAGCATCAACAAACTCTTTAATGACTTGGCCACAGCAAGTGAAGGAGTGAAATTGCTGAAGGATTCAGATGAAGGAACATCTGGTGGGCCTTTGCTATCTCAATATGTGCTTGGAGGATTGCGAATCTCGCTGTTGCAAGCACATCTCTCTAGCCTCCTTTGTGATACGGTCACAGCCGTCTTTGTAAATGCAGCTGATTTGCTGTGCTTGGTTTGCAGCCAGGTGCCGGGGTCAACTCTGTCGATCGTTCCTTGCTTTGATGCACTTAATGTATCTTAACGTCGAGCAGGTTCCGACAACCTGTATAGATTGACCCAGTAACATCTAGCAACTGGTGAACAACACTGGTGTTTGCACATCATATACTGTATACATATATATATATCATTATATATCAACTACAGTATGTTCGATCAACTGTTCAGTTTGTTCTACGTATTGATGTGCACCAAACCGTCGAAATCGGGCTCTGACAGGTTCCCTTGTACATTGCACCACTTTTTCTTGAGCCACTCCTACCAGCGCTCTTCGGGCGCTTGCTGGACACAAGTCAGAAGGTTCGACAAAAGTCGGCTGAGACCACCTTAGAGGTTTGCAGCCTACACAGCTCTGCCTTGAGTGAAGCTTGGAATTCCCATGTTCCAACCATAAGCTCAGAATTCAGAATGATATATATATATATATCGTATCATATAGTCAACTATAGTATTAGCATATCGGGTTTTGGAAATGCAGAATGAGCTCATTCTTCTCAAGGAAATGGTGGCCCAATGCGTGTCCAGCGGTAGCGCATGGACTTCCACAGACCGGAGTGGTACAGACCGCAGCACCGGGCCTCGCTTGCAGCTGTTGGGGCAGATGGTGAGGCGGATGCATGACAGAGACTCCACACGAGTTTCTCCCCTTCACGAGTTTGTGCATTTCACTTGTGCATACTTTTACTTCTCCTCAATTGATTCCAAACTTTCACGTACTATGATTCACTTGTGTTGGTTGTTTCTTTGCCTGTTCAAGCTATAAATAAAGGTCAAGATTAGGAAGACATGCACAGACGTTGAGCTAAGGTTTGGGCGGACGAGACCTGGAGCACCTTAGCTGACTATGCTATGAAGGCATCTGAGAACAAGAGTGCAGATGTACGAAAAGAGGCCTCAAACTTATTGGAGGGTATGGCCAATGTGAGAGGCCGTGCCAGTGAAATTGCGGAACAGGCTGCCACTCAGTTGAAGGCTATGGCAGAGGAAAGAGCCAAACAGAAAATGAGGCCAGGCACCGGCGTGAGGCCCCTCACTGGACGCGTTGGCACAGGAGGTTCTCGCCCGGGCACTGGAGCTTTGGGTGGTTCAGGCCGCCTTTCCTTCAACTCCAGTGGCAGGCTGAGCACTGCAAACCGTTCTGGAAGCTTGAGACCCGGCACAGGTCGACCTGGCACTGGCCTGAGCAGGAGCGGGACAATGACGTTGGAGGAGGAAAGTGATAATTCTCTCCACAGTGATGCCGAGATTCAAGCTGGTGATGAAGGGGTAAAATTCTTTGACATGAAGCGTCTTGCCTCAAGATGCCTCAAGTAGGACATGTGTATTTGTATAGATCATCCTAGATTGCCGAACATCTCTTCTGGTTTCTCCATGTTCATTTCAGGTTGAGCTTTGCCCATACCCGATCATCCTGAGGAATGCTTGCGGTGGGGCTGATGAGGTCCCAGAGCTGGCAGAAGGAGAGGCTGCTCTGAAGGAAGCCTTACCTTTGGCTGAGGCCTTGGATGAAGTGGCTTTAGACTCTTAGCAGTATGCAACAGGATGTGCCAAGCCAAGCATGATCACTGCCCACTCCTGCTGCAAGGAAGTCCATCAACCTCGCGACATCATGTGAAGTCACCAACATCAAAACACAACCTCCATCTATCTTCAAAATGCTACCACGACAAGCGTGAGCACTGTCGGCCCCAACCCCACCCGCCTGCCACAACAAAGACAACGCGGGGCTGGCTTTTGTCGACCATAAACATGTTCTGACAGTACAAAGAAGTCGTCTCACCAACACAGACAGCAAAAGCAATATACAATCGTCACGAGACTCACAACCGGCAAGTGGTCAAGGATTTCTGCAGGTTATGATGGCAGAAATCCCACCCTGAAGACCCTATTCCATGACTAAATAAACAATGCAATTGTCCGTTTGAAACCTAGGCGACGAGCAAATTATCAGCATCAGGGAAAGGAACAGACTTGGAAAGGGACAAACCCTCGATGAATAGTGAATATTGACAATACATCAGCTCTTATGGAGAACGGTTATTGGCGTCTACAACGTTTAAGTGAGGTTGAAAAGACAAAAGTCTACTGAAAAGAACGATGAGAGATGGGCATTTGCAAAGGAGGATATCCTTATCAATAGAAATGACTTTACGGAAGATGAGGGCGAGGGTTGAACAACTGATACCGTAAATGATGCATACGAACATCTGCAAACAAAAGAACACCATAGTTAACGAAGAAGCAACAATTTATTTTTCAAAGGCTGTTGCTACAGATGTGTCATACATGTTCATATCTTGAAATGCATGTTTACCTAAGGAGCACGCCTTTTCAATACAGATTTGTCGCGAACACATATAAAGCTGCAGCTGAAATTCAGTCAAAACCTTTGAGGTATACAATGGTTTCTCTCACAATCACTCCAAGCCCTATATTCTTTGAGAATAGGGGTTGCAAAACCAAGATTGTAGGTTGAAGCTGGAATTGTCTCAAACATTGTCTAGTTTGTTTTCTATGTGTTGATGTGTTTTCTATTTTTTGCATGTTAGTGTTGCCATCCCCTATCCCCAGGAATTCGGAATGTCCAGGCAGGAATGTATGTTATACATAGGTTCGTTCAGGAGTGGTTTCCAAGAGAAAACATTCTCAAGCGCAATGGTTTTGACTTAATTTCAGCTGCAGATGTGCTTCTTGCTTCTTGCTTCTTTGGGGAGAGGCGTTTGTAAGAAAACACTGCAACATTGCTTTAACTGGCATGTTTCTTGAAATTGGCCTGCTTACTGCGCCCTTACTGAATTTTTCCTGTAGACTCTAGACTCTAGACATTGGCCAAGGACTTTGTCGCGCCTCTCATTGCACTCTTCGGCGAGGGCTGGACCAGGTGCTTCTACAGCCGCAACTGGCAGTGCCGAGTGGCAGCGTTGACTCACTTGTCCGCCATCATGGCCCAGCGCTTGGAGGACTGGACGGATTGAGCAGGGCACCTTGCTACTAGCAAGAAGCTAGTAGGTCGGAGGCCATCGCTACTGGCATAGGTATCAAAAAAAAATTAAAAGAGCATCAAAAAAAATAAAAACAGGATAATAAAAAAAAGTAAAAAGCGAATCAAAAAATAAATATTCCTTGATAGGCCTTTTCTGCTGCTCTCCTGGCCTTGTGGTCTGCGGATCCTCTGGTAATGTGGTCCCTTGGTCCTCTGGTCCACTGGTCCTTTGGTCCCCTGGTCCCTTGGTCCTTGAGTCCACTGGTCCCTAGTCCTCCGGTCTCCTGGTCCTCTGGTCCTGTGGTCCGCTGGTCCCCTGGTATCCTAGTCCTTCTGTCTCCGAGCGCTCTGACAACGCCATGTAGGGCCTAACTTCGTGTGAACGCCGTGACTACTGCTACTGCTACCACTACTACTACCACTCCTCCTCCTCCTGCTGCTGCTGCTGCTGGTGCTGCTGCTGCTGCTGACTGCTACTGCTACTGCTACTACTACTACCCCAACCATCCTCAGTGGGCTAGAATATTGTTTTTTGATTACCTTTTTATTTTTTTGATCCCCGTTGAATATTTTTTGATTCTATTTTTATTGTTATTTTGATCCCTTACCCATCGCTACTAATGCTAATATCAAGAAGCTACCATTTAAAAATCTACGTCAGCCGGTACAGGTGGCAGGCCACTTTGGTGGCGCTGTGCAGTCACTGTAGGCCGTTTGTGCCGCGATCGAATCGCTCACGATCCAACCACGGTGAGGATGTGAGTGATGTTCCCCTGGCTGAACTCTTGGACGGCTGTATGCGTGCAGTCCATGAGGGGCTGGGCGATCAGAACGTCCGCGTTTACGCCGAAGCCTGCATGGCGGTGACAGCCACGAGCCTTTTGAGGGGATGGAGCAAAATGGGTTGAATGATGCCCTTGTTACTAGTAGCTTCTTGCTCCTAGTAGTACGGCCAGGAGCCCCTAGTAGCTTCTTGCTCCTAGTAGCGATGCCAGGAGCCCCTAGTAGCGTCCTTGCTCCTAGTAGCTGAATGGATTGGTTCAAAGTCCCAACCTGTATGTTCTGGAAGCCCTCAGGGCCCGGAAAATGGATTCCCACTTATTGCTTCCGTCAGTTCAGGATAGTTGTGGGGAATCTTATTTGGCAAGCCTCGCTGCTACGTTTCGGTCGTTTGTGGTGAGGGTGGGCAGAAGATTTTAGATCGTCTTGGTAGGTAGGGTTAGTCGTTTGATTCCAATCTGCATCGAGGCCATTGTTCCCTCCTTTTGCGGAACTGTGGATGGGCGGTTGCTTGTGGCGCACTTGGCCCCATTGCTCCGCCAACTTTGTGCACGCATGGGGGATTCGAAGGAGGTGGTCCGGACACAAACGACGCAAGCGATGTTCCGGTTGCTCAGTCCGCCAACCGGAAACATCGTCAGCCCTGTGGCCATCGCGATGCTCATTTTGCGCCATTTGATGCCAAGCAAGGAAGAAGGTGACTCTCCGCTTGCATCAGTGAGCAAAGGCGCAACAGGAAAAGGAGCAGTGACGGGATGGCTTTGTCGCTTGAGTGCATTGCGGGAGCTGTGCAAGGAGTATTCCAAGATGATCGTGCAACAGCCGGGTAGCACAAATCCAGGTGAGTGGCTCAGGCTGGCAGATGGGCTGAAACATGCCGACCCATCAGTAAGGCATCAATCTGTGCGCCTGTACACACTTGTTTGCAAGATGCACCTGAAGTCGTTGGGTGATGAGGAGGCTCAGAGATCAGCTCGGGAGGTTTGGGTTGCAGCTTTGCCGAAGGATCTGCCAGCCAAGTCCATTGCACAAGTTCGGCGATACCTTAAGCTTCCTGAAGCCTCGCCAAAGAGTTCGGAAAGCTCTCAGCCCAAGAAGTCTCACCTTGGAATGACCATTGCGTGTCTCCATTGGGAGGTTCCATACAGCTTGGCTCGAACAGCAGGCTGCAGCCTTGAGGTCTTGGGCGCGCTGTCAATGCCACAGAGGGGAGACGAGAAGGCAGTAATTACCGCACTGAAGGCTTTAGGCAAAGTTAAGCAAGAAAAAGAAGGATCAGATGACATGTTTGCGCACATTTGCAGGGCAATCCAGCAAGCATTGGCTGCCCCAACAGGTGCAGACCGCTACGTGTTCCTTTCCGCAGTGGAGCTGTGCCAAAGTGCTGTTCAGCAGCTGGGTCCGGCTTTGTCTGGCTTGGATCTCAACATGGCATTGGGCAAAGTCTTCCCAACTTTGCTAGAGAGGACAGCTCTTTCAAGCTTGGCTGGTGACGTAAAGGTGGGGGTTGCTTCAGACAAGCTGGTTCAGCAGCTCGCCAAGCATCCGAAGGTTGGTTGTGAGGCTGTCACCAAGATGGTTATTGCCTCCATCTCTCGATCAGAGCATCCAGTTCGGCAGTTAGTGCTACTTCGCACCTTGCTGAGTGACTTTGGCTTGAGACTTTGTGCTCAAAAGGATGTGGTTGCTTTGCTGCTGACTGCATTGGGAACCCAGCTTGAGCGAATCAATGGTGCCAGAGAGGTTGGAGAAGCCATCCGACCACAGTTGGTCGGAGTTTTGGCAACCTGCAAGCAGTTCTCAAATGACACGATACGCTTTTGCTTGAGCGAAGTGGAGGCCTCTCAGCGGAAGTTGCTTTGCACAGCTTTGGCCGAAAGTCCAGATCCGCAGCTGATGGCTTTGGGGGCCACAGCTGCGGAGCAGGAGAGCTTTGAGAGCGCTACATCCCAATTCGCCGTGGGCAGCGCAGTCAGAGCTGCATCCCGAAGCCGTGGCATGTCCCCCCTCTCAGAGCCCTCGTCCAGCAGCGCCCCACGCCCTGCAGTGCTCTCAAGACATACAAGCCGTTCCAATCTAGGCAATTCTTCCGGGAAGCCACCAGAAGTGCCCATCCGAAGGTTGGACTCGCAAAAGATTGAGAAGGAGAGGGACAAGGAGCCAGGGAGTAGGTGGCGCATTTTCCGGCAATTGTAGTTCATACATATTATATGGATTATTGGATCATAGTAGTATTCAGTGCGCGTCATTGTTCCAAATTCTTTCTCCGTTGCTTTCATTGATGATGCTTTCTGTTGGATGCACTCTGAGACGGCTTGAATGATCGTCCGAGGAGGAATCCTTTGCCCGAGAGGCCTCACCACGCTCTAGCAGCACCAGGCGAAGAAGGCGGATCGATTGTTCTCCTCAGCAACCGCCCAGAGGGCCAAGGCATGGTGCGGTCATGTTCATGCGTGTTGTGTTGTCAAGTAATTTGCATTTCACTCGAATGAATTTCACAAAATGTGCATAAAAGAATCAGAAAGCTTATGTGATTGTGTGAGCACATGTTTCTTATTCTTGTGTGTGAATGAGTTCCCGCTCAGGATTCCATTGAATCAAGGAGGCCTCTCTGAGGCCTCCACGGCCTCCACTGATTTCCCGTCGGACTCCCCCCGGAAGTTTGGCGGCCGGACGACGGCCAGCACGCCCAACCTGAACAAAAGTTTGGAAGGCTCGCCTCGACCGTGGCCCGCAAAGCCACCAGCAGCTCAGACTGAACAGACAAGACAAGTAGCACGCCCAACCTGTCCATGTTGGAGGAACTTTGTCATGTTGACCTGAATTGAGCCCGTTCTGTTGAGGCCCCAATGAGCCTCTCGACCGCCCTGAAGGGGGACTCAGCCTCTTGGAAGTTCAGGGATGCGGAGAATTGAGGCTGGGTTTGCCAGGATTGGTACTGTGGCACTTCAGTGCAATCTGAAAATCACAGACAAGCGGGCTGTTGAACAAAAACAAGGTGGCTGTCCAAGGGAGACTTCATTGTGTAGAAATTTGTCCACCCAGTCAGCTTTGAAAGCCTCAAGCACTTGTTTGGGCATTCTGTTTGGCCCCTCTCCAGGTGGACTGCAGCTCAATCAGTGAGGTACCATCGTTTTTTGCAGCGAAACCAGCTACAATCCCTTAGAGCACTGTAGACAGCTGTCAGATGGTTGTTTGGACACCGGTTGCTTTAGCCTGAGCAGTTTTGGAGCTTTCAAGTTGGACCTGGGGAGATCTCAAGTTAGCAGTGGTCAGCGGATGAAACTGCAAACCTTCAGACTGCTGTCGCATGAATCCTCGCTAAAGCAGAGGCAGCTCAGTTTTCGAAGTCCTTTTTTTTGCAGCGTGCTCCAAAACACGGATCCAAAGTTGAAGCATGGCCTGACTGAATTTCTACTTTTCACAAAAAAAAATATCAAAAAGACTGACTAAGTTGTTTCCCGGCGATGCCTGCGTGGAATTTGTTCGCTTAGCTTCCGGAGCCTCAAGGCTCCACAATCTTAGTGCATGGTTTCACAACAAGCGGACTCTAGCGGACTGATTTCCCATAGCAGAATAGTGAAAGAAGCTTCTTATTGTGTGTTAACCTTTCACTATGTGTTACCTTGTTCTGATGTTTACTCAGAAAATCACGGTCCCGTCCAACTCATTCCAGGTTCGCGACTACCAAGTGCGGGTCCCTGCAGCCAAGCTCGCCAAAGGATGGAGACAGTCTAGTCGAGTCTAACCTAGTGAGCTAGTGGCATCCTGCTGAAGATTGCAGCAGTTCTACAAAGAGATGAAGATTGCTTTGTCCAAGGCACCGGCAGCACAACCTTTCCTTCCAACACGCTCCTTGGAGGAAGAAAGTTGATTCCCATGACTAATCATGACTTGATGTTTGAAAGTAGACCTTACCTTCAATATTCTTCCAAGCCTGGATTCAAAGTTGGCATTTGGGGGGTGGGGTGGCAAGATTGCAGGATGCAGGGCTGAGCCGATAAGTAATTCGCATCAAAGTACTGACTGCAAATTGATGTGCAGATGACGATGTAGATGCAACAAATTAGCACAAACTATATAGACACCCCTCTCTGGTTAGATACTGCATCACGGAGTGAGCGCTTTTTCTGCCAGTAAAAAGGGTGTGCAGCGTGTATACTGCATGCTTTTGGTAACCTTGGTGGTCAACCTTCGTGGAGTCTAATCTGAGTGCCTTTTGACATGATCACACGTCATGCACCCCCCTCCCTGCTTTGCAGGGATCCAGCTCAAGACCCTAGTCTTCTCCGAACCACTCAAAGTCACTGTCAGACGCAGTGGCCCGCACAGACCTCGACCCTAGCCGGTCCTTGTCGTCACAGCCATCACTCTCAGGAGTTGATGTGCTCAGGGTCGGTGTCTCATTCGCCCCTGGCAGCATCGTCACTGCTGCCCGTGCTTCATGAAGAAAGCCAGGCCTGAAAGCTGGGGTGGGTATTGCAGCTACGCATTGGGTCCACCATGGCTGTAGCCACGCCCACCTGTCATAGAGGGGTCACTGCCCAAGCTTCCATCAGTTTGAGCTATATAGAGTTAAACCCGGTGTTGACCAATTGGTCGTCGAGGTGGGCCTCGATGATGTCAATCATGTTGTAGCGCTCTGCGGACTAACTCGTCACGATGGTGCAGGGCACACCACTGCGCTTCATCCTAGCCTCGGCGGCATTGGCTCTGGAGATCTCATCCAGGGCCTCTCTGACACCTTGTGGCATGTTTTGCCATCGCTCAGCAGGTGGTAGTGGAGTGATTGTTTCGGCGCCGTCCCAACTGCCACTGCTCCAACTGCCTTCGCCCCAGCCGCTGGTGCCCCAGCCGCGTTTGTTCCAGCCACTGATGCCAGCCGCTGATGCGCTCCAGCCAGTGTGTTGAGGAACAGGACTGGTTCTCCTTTGCTGCCTCCTGAAAACCCACTGCTAATGGTTTCGGCTTTGCCCTCGAGGTTGTTTCGCTCTGCAATCTGAGGTGGTCCGGCAGGTCCGATGAGCTTGCTGCCCAAGTGCCAACTGGTCTCTAACCCACATAGTAGGAATGCACCTTTGTTCCACGAGCAGGGTCCTGAAGTTCGAAGAACGTGTCGCCCTTCCATCCTCAATTTTGCACTTGGCTCAATCTTCTCGTGAAAGTGGTTCGAGAAATGAATCCTGTATGGGGTGACAAGGCTGCTCACCGCCCAGGTGCGGCGGCCTTGAGCTGTGGATGGAATGGTATCTCTGATACATCCACTTGCAATGAATGCGAACAATGAAGTTCTGCACAATTTGCTACCGATCCGCGGCGGCGATCCGCGCTTCCGATCGGTGGTTGGTTGCACGGCGCATGCCACCAGGGTTCCTCCGGCCTTGCCTGAGGGTGGTTGGGCACCTTCATCATTTCGGAATGGGGATCCCCTCAGCGGGAGGTTCATATCTTTTTTCTCTCACCGTAGGTTCATGGTGGGCCCTTAATTCGACATCCTTTGGAGATGTCGCCCCCCGGGAGGGTTCATCTTCCCTCTCCCATTTAACGCCAATGCTCAGCCATCATAGGACGACCGCCACGATGTCCAGCAGCGCAGTGCATTTCTCAACTCGCACCAGCACCCAGCGCCGCCCTCAGCATCACACCATCATCCTCAGGATCGCGGCCATGATGCAGCGCTGGTCCACCCTGCAAGAACAGAACAAGTTGAGGAGCAGGACAATCATGGATCAGGATTCAATTCGATGAAGATGGCTTCTGGTGGCATTCTTGGTGGCATAGCCACAAGCTTTCCACGGGCTTTTTTTGGCTTGTTTGTCCAAAAGCTCCTCTTCCGCCCCAGTCCACTTGGACCTCTCAGCACTGGTTGCCGGCCGCCCAGCGCGCTCGTGTAATCGAGGAACACCATGATCTTCTTCCGTTTTGAGACCAGTGGCAGCTCATCACCTCCCAAGTTTGATGGTCTTGCCATCGTGAGCTCATGCTCCTCCTGGATCTCCTGGGGCCAGGGAGGCGCCGCCGTTGGGACCCGCACACCCGGATGGTGGTGGACTTTAAAGCCACCAAGCTTTGCAGCTTGGGTTCATAACCTGCGTCGCGGAGTACAATAAAAAGGTCAGCGTGTATACGGCACGCACCTGTCACCCTTGACGGCCAACCTTCATGGAACCTAATCTGGGTGCCTTTTGACATGATCACACGTCATGCAGATACAATATGATACAATGCAAATCTGGCTTTGCGGCTTAGACTTTGTTGATGTTTTGCTTGGGTGACTGGGACCCGGAAGCGCCCGGAAGCCCTCCAAAGCTGCAGGTCAACAACAACAACAACAACCAGCAGCAGTAGTTCTGCTGTGACAGGTGCACCGGGACTCAGCGCCAAGTGCTAATAGCCGAACGGAAGTCATATTCCTGATTGGGCAGCCTGTAAAGAGTGGTCTTTGGCCTACTCTAGCCAGGTGGCACACACGCGCGAAGAATTGTTACTGCCGGGGGCCCCAATGCTTCATCAGGAACAGGGAAGGATTATTTATCGATTATGTATATATATATATATTCGTTTTTTAAAAAAATAAGTGAATGCATGAAGTTGTGCATCGGATCGCAAAGTTCAACGGGGCCATGGAAACCCATGGACGGGGTTTCTCATGAGCCCTTTTGCGAAGCGCAGGCAATAACACGGGTTACGTGCTGGCCTCAGAAGCGCCGTTGACGTTCGCGCTGTGTTTTCATTCTGGAGCACATCGACCTGGAAGGGACCTGGAGCGGTTTGCCACCATTGGCAGGTTGTCTCAAACCCAGCTTCAGACCCACAGGTTGCCCTTGATCCTTTCAGCCAGTGACGGCTCAGGACGGTTGGCAGCAAGGAATCGTCGTACATTTTCTGTTGTAGCGGCCCCTAAAGTGGGACCGTAAGTTTGTAGTGGGGCCTCGGCTTAAGTCGTATCAACTGGAGAAACGTCGTATCAAAATGGTTTGCCATTGGGGATTGACTTATGGATGTTTGTTGTTGTTCTAGTTGTTCTGTGAACTGATGTCACTGTGCTGTGCCCATGCGGTGCTTGCTTGTGTGATACTGGTAGATCCAACAACCTTTGTTGCACCAGTTTTCCAGATCAGTGATACAGGAGTGGATCCTTGGTGCAATGGTATTGTTTAGCATTAGATGACAGTGGAGCACTGTGGTGGGACCGTGGGTTTGCATTGGCTAGACTAGAGTCTAGAGCCTGCCATGGCGACCGATCCTGGCGCCGTGGCGACTGGTGCGGGGCAATCAATGCCAAGGACGAAGAATGGTTTTCCTCTCCTCCTCCGACACTGGAGCTGATGATGCCAATTTCCTTCACAGGCATCGACGACAAGGAAGCCTTGACAACAAGACAGTGGACAAAGGATGCTAAGAGTCAGGAAGCTGGCCCAACGGGCCAATGAAAGCATTGAGAGCTTCATCAACAGGGCGGAGATCCGTCGGCGGGAGAATGAGGCTTTGCTTGGATATCGGGTTGGCTCTTGCCCTGCTGAGGGCAGCCTGCAGAAGGTGATCTTTGCCTGTTGGAGCTCGCCGGGCAATTTGAGGGAGCTCAGGCTCAAGTTGCAGTCATCTTGGAGGCGATGATTGCCGGCATACGCGCTGCTTGACAAACCAGTCATCTATGGGGATTGTCATCCTTTATTGTTTAAATGCGTTTGCTGTGAACTTAGTCTCGTGATCGATACGTCTGTACGTCTGCTCAATGACTCAATTGATCATTTCGATGAAGTTTGCCGCGTTTCCGCACGGCAGTTGCAAGGAGATTCATGTCTTGACCCTTCCCAAAAGCCGGTGGGGGACACGGGGCATCGAGGATGCAGCAAGGAACTGGTTCCTCAGAAGAACCAGGTCAAGAAGACACCGACGACAGTCAGCACGGCGTTGTTCGGGGGGACGAAGTGCACTTTCCCCTGTCAACTCAGTACCCGGACAACCCCACAATGAACTTGTTGCGGGGTCTCAAGACTTTGTGACACGTTCGCGAACTCCCAGAAGAAGTGGCGCCAAACCTGGGTGATGAAGATGCACCGCAACCCTTTGCATACTGGATGCCAACGGAGTGTTGGTTCTTTGAGAGATATTTGCGGACCGCGCTCGCCTTTCCAGTGTGCCTCAGCCATGGTCCACGCCGGCGTGTCCCGTCCTCAAGATGTGTTGCCTGGGCCTTCTCAAGGATGCCATTTGGCAACAAGATCACCCTTTCACTACCTTGTGGTCCTTAAGCCTACGCACTGCTGTCCAGATGAATCACGAGGCGATCACTACGCCAACGTTCCCAGACAAGCTTTGGGGTCGTCCTGTTGGAGCACGAGCCAATGTTATGGTGGACTTGGTGTTCAGAAATGGGGTATTCCGCGAAGGGCCGCTAGCTCCAAAGAGGGCTGTCGTGCCTTTTTCAGTAAAAGGGTTGCCGTGCATATTTGCCATTTCAGATGGTCGACGCCGCCGCCCCAAAATTGGCTAAACCTTACGGACATGTTTCCAAAAGACGAAGATAAAGGGTTTGCTCTTCGGACCGGCCATGCATGGCAACGCTTGTTGAACAAACAGTGCGACGGTGCAACCAAATCTCCAAGGCCAAGACCCCGAGTCGGTCGAGAAGAGGCCAAGAAGCCTGCGCAAAGCTCACCAAGGAGCACAGAGTCCAACTTGGACTGGGAGAACAAGATTAGAACCGGCCGATGTCGGGCAGGCACCAGCCTTTTGTCGGTAGGCCTTGCTAAGTTGAAAACCTTGGGTAGAAGCGCCACAATACTGAACCATGTGAACAGGAGCATCATCACCGTGCGGACTTCGCAAGGCAACAATCCAGTCCGCCCACAGGTGTGGAAAACAGAAAGTTCAATGACCAATTTTGAGGACCTTGACACATGGACGATACTGATACTCATCTATACCCTCCTGAATACTACAGCTTAAGCGCACCACTGGCCAAAAGGGTTAAGATGCTGCCAAAGAATGGGCCTTTGATTTTACATAATTTGTCTAACTGTAACTGCCTCACTTTTGATGATTCTTCAGCGGCCAGAAAATATTGACAGCCGAAAGACACAACGCACACTGGACAACAGGAAACTCTAAAGATTGCCTCAGCCGTTTTGCTTTCAGCCAGCGATCAATCCAGAATCACTGACATCATGGAAGCGTTGATCCTCGCCTCGTTTGTGCAAATCAGATCTGTGAGATTTTGCCCTGATGGTTATTTGTGTTTTTTTTGAGAGTCTGTTTACGAAGCTTGTGAAGTGTTCAATGTCCTGCCGTTTCTTTGCGTTGAAATGCGATGCCTGTTTGAGGATCAAAGCTGCAATCTGGTGCCTGACCTTTGCAGGATTGCCCTAGAGTAGAGACTACATTATAGACGGTGGAACCCAAAAACCAGAGATGTTTCAGTGAGTGTATTTTCCCGTATTTGGGTGCGGTAATCAGTGTGGGTAATCCTACACACTTTTCCGAACTCCTGGCTTAGCATTGTCACTGTTTTTGCAACAAGCACCGGATTACAGACAGAAATGCGGCGGAGTAAATCTCACGAGCTTATTGATGCCAAGTTGCCAACCCGAGTTGTTTGCAGGAGGTCATGGGCTTAGTGTTGGCCTCGTTGGACATTGCGGTGATGAGTCCTGTGTAGCAACACTCCTGTCATCCACAACTGATATCGCACCTTAGCAGCAGAGAGCTTGTCGACTTGTTTTCCCCGGTCAGGAGTGCCTGGAGATGCAAAAAGAAACTAGCGAAATTGTGTGAAATTGGTGAGTGCTAACAATGCCGTTCGTACTCAGAAAACTCTTGGGCACCCAAGTGCCAGGAAAAATCTGTAAGGAGCCTAACTCGAAATCGATTGGAAAGAGACATGGGTGGCAAGCAGCTCACACAAGCTGTGGCAGAAACAACAATTGGTCTTGAACTTGGAACAACTTGATATCGGACCTTCAAAGTCAGTGTATATAGGAGGCTGAGCCAAACGTGCCAAAGGTGTAGCAGTGAAGGAGATCAATGGAGCTGTTGCCACTGCCACGCTACGGCAGGTCTTCCGTTCCTTGGTCAAAGCTTCTCATGTCCAGAAAGCACGATCAACATAATTAACCGACATGCCAAGCCAACGTTCAAGAAAATATGATTATTGGGAAACTTGTGTGACTTGTTTGTCGGCCCATGCTTGTGTGGCAATATTATACACATATGTATGTGTGTATATATATATATATATCCGTCCCTGGATGACCTCCGTTGCAGGTGGTGCCTCAACAGGTGCCGGCAGCCTGGCTTCAAATTATGCGATGTGCTTTTGCTCAATGCTTGGAATCACAGGCCAAATTGCAATGAGGACCATCTACAATGAGAGACACCTATTTTGTGTTTCCAATCCATTCTGGCACCGTGGTGACCGGCCTGACTGCTGAAATCGATGGGCACTTTATTGAAGCAAAGGTCATGGAGAGGCGCGGGTGCAATAATACTGCAGGTGAGGACATGCGCTTGTGCCAAGCATAGGTCGCAACATGTCGCAACGCTTTGTGTTGCCTCAGGCGTGAGGCTCAAGAAGCGTACAAGAAAGCAATCAAAGAATCCAAATGCGCGGCTCTCGCTCAGCACGGCGCAAGTCAAGCTCGGAACGGAATGGATTTGTGACATGGCCTGACCTTGGCTGAGCCAGAGGCAGGCAAAAAGTGATGTCAGACATTCTTTCCGACTGGATTTATCCCAGGTATCGTGTCTCCCTGGGGAACATCCCAACACACAAGTCGACGTTTGTGAACTTCTCCTACGTGCAAGAGCTCAATTTGGAGGCCGGACTGTTGAAAGTCATTGCATTTTGAGCTCCATCCAAAGCACAGCCTGTCAAATTCCCACCCAAAAACAGTGATGGCTGAGCGCAAATGTTGTTCTTTCAATGTGGTCAAGTGGTTGCGAAGGTTGTCCACGGTCCTTTAAGGCAGTACTTTAAGGTGCACTAGGTACCAGAACTGGTTGGAATCGTTTCCCGTTTTTCCCAGGATTCGGACTTGAAGAAGCAGGGCTTTCTCAGGTTGCTGTTTCCTGCCACTGTGGGCGCGCCCAGTCGATACTCGCCGGCGGGCTTCTCCGATGGCATTCGATCTGAAGAGGAGCTGCAGGCATCACACCATGAAATGACTTGTGGTTTTTGTTCCTAGTAGTTTCTTGTTCCTAGTAGCGATGCCAGGAGCTACTAGTAGCGTCCTTGCTACTAGTAGTAGTGCCCTTTGTTACTAGTAGCGATGCCCTTGCTCCTAGTGTACGTCCAATTCTTTCGGCCTAATTACATCTTTCCAATTTCATTGTCTACTGTATTTCTTTCACCTTTCCTTCCATTGGTCCTGCATGACCCGTGACACTTTTCCTTTCCCCTGTGTACGATGCTGAACTCACAGCGATGAAGCTTATTTGTAGAAAAAGCTGACCGTTGACCGTCTACGCCTTTGAGCCCGGAGGCTGCTACACACCAGGCACCGTCATTGAAGCTTCAAATCGCCATCCAACCACCAGCACGAGTGTCCTCACCATCTCACAAGTCCATAAGCTCACGTGAGGCCGGTCTCGAATCTTGCAAATCGGCAATTGGCGTAGGCAAAAGACCTATTAGAGATCTCCATAGCCGCGGTAGCCCGTGTTGCTTTGTGTGGCGATTTATACATTTGTATTGCGGGCCATTGCCGGGGGCTGAAACAAAGTGTTGACACACAAACCTTCGACAGACTTGACTCCACTCGGGAGGTGGTACAGCTCGGTGACATGGCTAAGACGACAACGCTGGCAGAGGTTGATTTGAGGCCGGGTGTTTGAGGTACTGTTTCTAGATGTTTTACACGTTTAGCGCGAGAGTGCAACATGAGCGGGGTGAATGTGTGGTGGAGCATGTAGCTCACCAGCAGCTCTTTTGTGAGTGTATTTTGAGCTTTTCGTTGTGACAAATCTTCCAACCAGAAAACCTTTTCATAAGATTTCAGCAAGGCAATGGGATGACATTGTGAAGGACGTCGTGGTTCACATCCATTTCCCAGCGGAGGAGCACGCGTCAAATGCAGTTTATTGAGAGACATGCCCCAACGATGTGTCATTTTGTAGCGTGGGTTTCAACATGTTCTTCCAGAGGTGAAAAGATACACCTACTGATGTGTATGTATATATATATATGTATGTATATGCTAGCCCCTCTATAAATAGATATACACAGTATACTTATGTGAGCGACGATGGCACATGCATACTCTGGCTACCGGGTGTCAAGAATGGGACTTGCCAAGGTTTGGCCTTGTCGCCTTGTCCAGGACATTGGACTTTTTAGACCCAGGGCCATTCTGGAGCAACATCCAACGCTGAAAACATGGGTGGCTGCAGCAGAGGTGGTGCCTTGGTGGAATGTGTTGTAGAATTACAATGTTCGGGTTCCTGAAGAAGTCAGGTGTATAGATATAGTTTTGCTATGTTTTGCGTGTTTCTCCAAAATAGTTAAGCATTGTTTCTCACATGTAAGTTTTTGTGGCACCCCCGTGCTCTCAAACATGTTGGGGGGTACTGTGTGTACACATATGCCAACCCCTCTCCGAGAAGCATGTCTTAATCAATCACTCATTCAACAATCAATCTATCATGAACTGGGGTTTGAAAGAAATCGCCAGGGCGTCCAGTTGCTTTTCAGAGTAGGTGGCAGAATCCCCAAAAGGTGGCCTATGTGGAACCCATATAAAAGACATCTTTGGGTTTGTGACATCTATATACTCTGAAACCACTGTATCCTAACTTCGTTTACTCCATGCGCTCGTGTGCACAATTGATCCGCAGCCAGGTGCCACGCTTTTCCTGGGACCTACTTACAAACGTGGAAGCTCAACTGCACTTGGTAAGGTGCAACCTGAAGTCTCGCAAGGTTGGTGGCAAAGCATTTGCACTACGGTATTCTTGGTTTTATCAATCAAGCGGTGCCCCTTCGCCCCTGAAGCTGATGTGAGCTGAAACCTTAGGAAACCCAGCCAGGAATTCCCAGAACCCGCCATGTGAAATTCTAAAACCTTACACCCGTACTCTCATGGAACCCTTCTGCTACCTCCTTGTTCTTCACGGAACACCGCCAGAACTGATTAGAATCTAACTGGCAACCTCCTGGAACCTTACATTTGGCGCTGGCTAGCACTGGGTTGCTGGACTTGGATATCGGATAGACTCTAGACTGAGAACTCCAAGTCAGACACGTAGCAGTTTCCCCAAATTCCCAAGCATGCTGGAGCTTGTATCCTGCACCGTTTCATGAAGACGCATCCGCTAGTGCACACCCTATACATTTAATCTGGCGTGTCAACCGGCTCACAAGTCTTTAAGGAGACAAGTGTTGAATATGTTTTTAGTAGTATGTGTACAGTTGAGATTTTGTAGAGATGTAGAGTAATCTAGAGAGTTGCTAGCTTGTAATATAAGGTAGCTTGCTGCATGTGGACTCGTGTATGGTGTCCCGCAGCCCCTTTTCACTAGCTCCATCAGCGGAGCTGAGTGTCGAACTGTGAGCCCATAGGGAGGAAGGAAAGCCGCTTCTTCAGCCCTGGGGGGTTTCAAAGAGTCTACAGGTAAACGCGCCCAGCTTGCCACCGGATTGCCCATTTGGCCCGAGAACGGCCAGGCCACGTGGGTTTTCGCTGCATGCACGGAGCAAAAGCGTGAACACAAGGGCTTTGCCTGGCTTGAGGTGTGAGGAGAATACCAGATGTTCCAAACAGCTTCAAACCATTTTCCGTGAAGTACCAGGCCCAAGTAAAGTTTGCCATGCCGGATGTTCTGAGGGAGGGTATATGCACCGGAGCACTTGGAGCGATTTCTGTGCTTCAATGCCACCCATCGCAGCACTTCGAATGTTGTTAACGCTTTCAGTCACAAAGCGAAATCCAGACATGAATGGCAAACTGATCACACAACCACGAGACACCTGCTTGATTTTCACCGATGTGAAGAAGGTACACTTTTGGTCGCCAGCCAGGAGGCGATTGCTGGTGGAACTTCCACCAGAAGCAGGTTACGGCCCAGATGTTGTTGGCTTGCTGAGAGTTCCTATAGAACTCGCGATGCACCAGCAAATTGGGAGGCAGTAATTTGTGTGGTAATGACGGCTGTTGGTTTTGCACAAGGCAAAACAAACTCTTGTATTTGTTATCACCCAGACAAGCAGGTTCGTGTAGCAACCGGTTGATCACTTGGACTAGTAAAGGAATTGAGTTGGAAGCAGATCCACGACGTTTGATCTTGCAAGAGGTAGGTTGCGAAGGCGCAAATGTCACAACACCACCTGTGAAAGAGCGAATGGAGGATGTCTATGAGTCAGAACCTTTTAAATTTAGCAGTGAAGAGGCGGCTCGCTATCGCTCAGTGAGCATGAGGTTGGCATACCTTCCCCAAGATCGTCCTGACCTACTTCTTCTGGGAAAGGAGCTGGCATAAGGATTGAAGAATCCCACGCAGGCACATATGCAGATGCTGAAGCGTCAAAGTTTACCCAACTTGCTGTGTGGGTCGACGCAGGCCATGCTGGTTGTTTAAGATCTCGTAAGGGTACAACTGGTACTATTTGGCTTTTGGGAAAGTGCACTATTCGCAATACATGCAAGTCACAAGCAGTTGTTGCACTCAGCTCTGGAGAAGCTGAGTATTATGTGTTGGTACCTGGTACATGCCAAGCTCCTGGCGAACAGAGCTTATTGGCAGACTGGAACACACATGTTAGTATCACATGCTATATGGATGCAACAACAGGTTTGGCAATAGGCAGTCAGCATGGACTGGGCAAAGTCAAGCATGTAGATACAGTTTTCCTGTGGACACAGCAACAAGTCCTTTCTGGAAAGTTCAAGCTTGCTAAGCGATCTACCCTGGACATGCTTTAGCAGACATATTCACCAAGTCCTTAGAAAGCCAACGGACGAAGACATTGCTCGAACGAATGCACTACCGCTTCTCGACAGGTAAGCACCCGCTTGCCTTGAAGGCGCGAAGTGCCACTGAGGGGCGTTGAGCCGTGGCTTAGCTAGGCATCTCTTTTTCACTTGCGTCTCGAGGAGACACGCGTTCAGGAGGCGTATAGAGTTGTACAGCCATCATGTATAGTCGTCTAGAGTTGCTAGCTTGCGAGGTAGCTTGCTGCATGTGGACATGTGTATGGTATTCCCGCAGCCCCTTGTCACTAGCTCCATCAGCGGAGCTGAGTGTCGAACTGTGAGCCCATAGAGAGAAAGGAAAGCCGCTGAGCTTTACTTGGTTGGGAGTGGTTAGCATTGATAGCCCTACTCAAATTTTCTTTGCAGATTTACATGCCCAGCAGACTCACAGCACACACCTTGGCGAAGGTCACTGATTTTTGCTGCTGCTGATTGTTTCGGCTTGCCATTCCGAGGAGCTTTCCATCCTTGTTGATCGCAGTGGGTCAATGGGAGGTGCTTTGCACAGGGTTTCCAATTGTCGAGCTAAGAGTGTGACAGGAGAGGTTTCTCAGATCTGGAGCCACCTGTCAACTGCGATGGGGATTTCTCACTGGAGTGCCAGCCGCCAGGCAGCAAAATCCTTTTTGCCCGAGAAGCCTTGGAGCACTTCATTCGCTCCTGTCCTTTCCAAGCTTTTGTGAACATTGTCGGTTGCTTGGCCAGGCTTTGCTTTTAAGCTTGCCTAAAAGACTTGAGTTCAAACCGTCACGACTTGTCGATGCTTCAGCGTCCCAAGCCTGAAGCTGCACGAGAGCAGCCCCGGTTCAGGCTTTGGCTCCAGCTTTGAAAGCATTTTTGCTTCAGCGCATCAGCTGAAGGATGAAGCCTTTGAAATGGCTCTGGAACACGCACGAACTTTGCAGGCCAACTTGGGAGGAACGGAGCCTTTGCTGCGAAGTTGCCTCTACAAGACTCTGTTTAAGTTTGAAGGTTGCTGAAAGCAAATCAAAAATTTCACGCATGGAAATCCCACGTGCGTGCACAACATTAAGGATTTGGCACCGGCGCTGCGGCATGTATTGAGCCAATCAGAGCAGGTAGGAAAAAGTTGCGCATTGGTTGGCATTGTAGCTGAATTGTTTTTGTGCAAAGAAGCTCTCAGCCTCCTCGTGTGATTGTGTGTGTTTGGTAGGTTGTGTAAAGCGCAGGATGGCCGTTGGCGGCGCTTGCTTGTTCTCACGGACGGTGAAGTATGGAATGCCAACGAGGTCATTGCGACCGCGGAGCTTCTTGGCAATTCGTGACGGTTTTTCCCGAGAGCGCCTGCGAAGGGTTCTTCGTAAAAAAACATCTGCAGAACTACGTCTCATCTACATCTTCACATCTACATTCACAACTGCACATCTACATCTCTGCACATCTTCACGTCCTCACATCGACATCTCTGCTCATCTTCATCTTCACACATCTACATCTCTGCTCATGTTCACATTTGCGCATCTACATCTCTGCTCATCTTCACATCCTCACATCTACATCTCACATCTTTACCTCTCCTCTCATCTACATCTCACATCTTCACCTCTCGCTCTTCTTAACTTTTTCTCTTAAGGCCGGGCAGTGCCACCGGACCGCCATGAAACGCAACCCTCTGCGGAGATCGTGCGTGTCGGATGCGCGAAATGCAGGCGAGAATGCGATTTGCCCCGGTCCGGAGCAACCTTCTGCAGAGATCGCGCGTGTCGGATGCGCGAAATGCAGGCGAGAGTGCGGTCGCGGGCAACCCTCTGCGGAGATCGCGCGTGTCGAATGCGCGAAATGCAGGCGAGAGTGCGATTTGCCCCGGTCGCGGGCAACCCT